TTTAGCCGGATCCAGTCTGACAGCCTAGGACAGAGAGTCTTGATCTCTGAGCTGTCCCTGAATCTGTCCTGTCCTGTTGTGTTTGGGTTCTCACGTTCAAAGTCACTCAGTTGTCAAAATAATTTCTTCGCTTGCTTCTGCTGTATCTATAATTCATAAAGAAAACCAGAGAGGTGACGCCAGCAGCTTTTCCCACTCTTTCCCCTTGGGAAGTTGATGGAAATTCTGGGCCTAAGGTGGCTTATGTTCACTGCCACGTCGCTGCCACGTCACATGGTGCCACCCCAGCACCGAGAGCTGCACAAAGCAGCGTTGGGCACAGGCATTGCACAAAACTTTGCACAGAAAACACACACCAGATCCCAGATCCAAAGGGTGCTGGATTGGTCCTTTGGTGGCCTTCAATAATGCTCAGATCTTCTCAATGCCAGCTCTTGCAGCAGCTTCCTCATTAGCTGGAATTCCTTCTCATTGAGACCTCCTTCCCTGAGACCATGGCCACTCCACTAAGTGTGTTGGCTTCAAAGCAGCTTCACCCCAGTACATCTGTGTGCTTCAGTTTGGCAGCTCACTTGAGCCCCACATTGCACAYATCTGTCCTCACCAAATCTTGCTGAAATGCCTAAGCTGTGCTTTATCTCCAGAAGGGTTGTATGGACAAATAACATGTTATTTGCTATGAAAATGGGGGCTGTGTAGTGAAAAAATAAGTATATCTTAATATATATATCTTTCTAAAACTGCCAAGCATAATTATGTGCAATTTTCAGGAGATGGAATTATTTGTCATATGTGGTCCACTATTGTCAAATACTAATGTCTAAAAAGCAAGGAAATAATTCAACAGGGAGAAAAATCTATGAAGTATAGTGTAAGAATTACTTCTCCAAATAATGATTTTGAAATGTGAATGTGAAGAGGCATTTGTATCTTGTCCTAGGTAAAAGGAAGTTTTCTTATCCAGATATTCCAAGCCTGTTATTATTATTATTATTTAGAGTATAATATTACTTGCAAGTTATGTGGGGATTTCTAAACAAAGATATTCTTGCCTTTCTCTRGGGAAGAAAGCACAACTTAGAGAAATGTTCCATCTCAACAGATCTTCGCAGATGTTGAGGTGACCGTTGCACTCTCAGTGATGTCTCTTTGCAAGGTCAAGCTATATGAGGCTGAGTGTCCTTGGAGGGTGGCAGGAGGGCTCTTTTCCAAGYGAAGCAGATGCAAGGCTGCAGACAGGCGCCAGTTTTTAGCACTGGGGCTCATTGAGGCCCTGCAGCCCGGTCGGTCGCAGGAGCCGCCATGGTCACTGCAGGCACCCRCTGCGTTGTTCCTAAAGAGAAGCTTCACCAGGGGGCAGCACAATGTAACTTTTTTTTTCTCAATAAAGCAGTAGTTAATCATTTAAGGCATTTAAAGAGATTTGGGAAATTAGCTGCTTGTTGTTCTGTTGTTAAAGGAAGCCCCAGAGCAGCTCCAAAACCCAGAGGCTGTGTGGGGACCGGCACTCACCAGGGRAGAGCAGACAGTTGTGCTTGCCTGGCCTCTCGGTGCCTGTTTGCCCTTGTGGGGTGCTCAGGTTGCTCATCCAACCCTCGCTGTTTCCAAAGCTCTCCCGTGTGCTCACAGGAAGCTCTTTCACCCTTTGGGAGGCATTAGTCATCAGGAATAAGCTCCCTGGTGGCTGAAGAAGCACCACGAGCAGGGCACAGTACTTAGTGTAGGCAGACGTGCTTTCCTGGGTCAGRCTTGCAGTCACTTCTGCCTGTCTTTAGGCACATGTGCCACTGAGCCGCTTCGGCCTTCCCTTCCTTGTAGTTAGTCCATTGGTTTAAGGGGCTGAAGAGAGTTGCATCTYGCCTACTCAGGCTCCACTCATGGAGGGCTTCGTGACTGCCTCATTCACGATGAAATTACTCCAACATGAAGCCCTGTTCTGCTCATGTGAGCAACCGGTGCCTTTAGCAGTTGCCTCCCCAAGCTCAAGTGCCACTAACTTTTCTGACCTTTTTTGACCTCTCACTTTTTTTTTTTTTTTCCATTTGCAGTGAGAGACCTGCATCTGAATTCCCCTTCACTGTAGAATAACTACAGCTTCTGTCCTTGGCCCCTTTCTTGCCTCCATTTGCCTTCTGCCCAGTAGGATTCTCATTGCTAGATTCAGTCTTRTACTTCCCTCTTGGCACTCAAACACACATCTCCCTTGACCTGCTGCCTCTGATCTCAGACCTTTTTAAGCTCCATCTCTCAACTCGACCAGCTGCTGCTCATCTTCTAGCTTCCTAATTCTGCATGGGAGGCTTCAAAGGATGCAGCTCTCCTGGGCATCTTTGTCCCGGATATCCTTAGCTTTCCTTTRCTCAGATAGTGTCTTTACTTCATCAACCTTGATACATAAGGATGTATTTGGGGAATAAGAGAATAAGTCTGCCCGCTCTGTTAGCTTTTGGAAGATTAGCTAGTCCACTGCATTTTCTGAGTGATGTTTATTAGTGCAGGCATAAAATCATAAACTTGTTACTAGAAATAATGTAAATCACTTTGTTCAAGACACCTTTGTGTTGCTTTTAAAAAATCACAGGATCATTTGTTTCTGTTTTCACAAAAAAAAAAAAAAAAGAAGAAGAAAAAATCTGATATTCCTATGCTTTGTTCTAATATTTTCATTTTCTCTGCCCAGTGACAAAAATATGGAGGTAAAAACAACAGAAATGTCAGGGGGGAAAAAAACTTTTATACAGTTTTAATTTTCTTCTCTTTCCTTTTCTGTCTGTTTTTTCCCAAAGAACGATGAAAACTGAGTATTTTTCTAAAGTCAAGAGGAAAATACATCTGAAATTCCATTAAAAATATAATTTGAAAAGAAAATCAATGCTTCCTATTCCAAACTTCTAAGAAAGGTTTGGAGCAAGCTAACTCATCTGCTGCTGCACTCTTTGGAGGGTCTTCTCCATGCCCACCACCTTCAGGGCCATCTCTTCACCTACATCTGTTCAAGAGTTTTTCAGACATTACACCTTGTTTTCCGCTGTTCTGTTCCCACAGCACCAAGCTGCCAGGAGGGCAGCCAAGGGCTTTGCCCAAATGTGGGGCACCTGCTCCTCCCATCCCTTGTATTTACTATATTTTAAAAGTCGTAGGAGGTTTTCTTATTACTTAGCCAAACTAGAAATACTTAACCCCACTTCAAAGTCTCTCTTTCTAGGATAAGAAACTGCTGTTCCTATTCTAGTGACTTCTCCAGACTTACATATTCTTTGATGTATTCCTTGTATTCTCTCTTCTCCCCGCAATAAATATAAACCAAACAGAGTGACTGGGATATTTCTAGAAATATTCAAAAAAAAAGTAATAAATCTCAYGTCTCTTTGCCCTCACACTCATTGTGATTCCTTAAATATCTAAAAAATACATGAATATATTACATTATGAATGCAAATAGCTACCTAAAAAAAATGCTTCTGTTCAACCTGAGCGATTTAGTAAAAATTGGTTCTTCAGGAAATGTTTCTGTAATTCTGATCCCACATGATACCAATCAACAAGCTAATTTTATATAGAATAGCAGTAGTCTTAGTAAGAACTACCCAGTCACATAACTTATTAAAGTTCCTTCTGTTGCTTTGCTTTGATGTGAATAGTCCTTTCTTGGAGATTAAGCTTTTTCTCATAAGATTTTAATACCAACAAGGTAACAGAGTGCTTTTGATACAGATCTGACATTATTGCCTAATTGAATTTGCTAGTGAAAAGTGCATTTCTAATGGGGGAAAAAAAATATATATATATATATATATATATATATATATATATATATGGAAATGGCAAGATTGATATGTCAAGATTGATAAACATCCAGATAAAATATAGTGGTTAAGAAATCAGCAGTAAATATTGGGGAATGAAAAGCACCACAACCTGAGACTGAATAATGCCTAAAATACATAGAATTTTTTCTATATATTTTCATATATATATRTATGTTTATCAATCTTGACATCTGGCTGCAAGGTTATGACTTGACTTTGTATAATGTATTTCTAAATTATGGGAATGAAGATATCTTAAACTATGCAGAAAGAAAGCATTCTTTTATATTTTGCCTTAGGTCAGCAATGTCTTACAGTAAAAATAAGGACAATATCTTAGCATATTTTTGAATAACAAAACTTGTATGTTATAATATATAAACCTAAATGCCATTAACTTGGGATCTTTCTCCAGGAGCTGCTGTGTTGTAGCAAAATTTGTGGTAATCCAAGTTTTTGAAAAATGCTGCTTCTAGTTTTCTCATTTGCTGTCTTTAGTATTCTCATCTGGGCTGCGGGTGGGATGGAGAGAAGCCAATCTTGCTACTGTCCAGGGTAGAGTAATAAGAAAATTCACATTTCAAATGAAAAAAAAAAATACATCTGTCTACTGCAAGAATTTTTTAATTGTCTGGTATTCCTTTTAAAAACAATCTGACATTGTACTTTAAACAACGAGTCATGTGCAGGCACCTGATGGTACTGAGCAAGAAAGAGGTGAAGACCTCCCACAATTGTCTTTTGATAACTTGGCACAAGTTTTAGTTGTTTTGAAAGCCTTATTAATAAAGTTAACCAATGTCATCAGAAATAGATTGCTCTGTGTCTTGAAGTGGATTTGTAGACTTTTTTTCCCCAAGTACAAGAAGAGAGACACTGCGCTACATCTTACTGATGTTGAGATTGCTGATGCTTAACAGCTTGTGTTAATGTTTGACATGTTTTGTTCCATGTCACCATCAGAAACTTATCTGCAAATCTGTCTGGCTGACTGTCCTGTACATAAAACTATTTTGGGGAGATTTTTTATTTTGTTTTTTGGGGGGTTGCTTTTGTAAGACGTGGATTTGAAATAACTCCCTTGCCAGACTTGTACGTGCTAGATTCACTACCTTCAGCATCTCTCATGACTTTCAAATTTGTTTTCCTGTGTGCAGAAGCAGAAGGGGTGCTCATCCCAGATGCCAGCACGCTCCAAGGAATAGCATCTTCATCCCAAAGTGACACCAGCTCCTGCTAGGACCATGGGACCAGCTGGCATCTTCTTAGGCAGCGGGCAGCTCCATGCCATCCTGTGGGGAAGTTTGGCAGCTCTGACCACACTCTTATTCCTCACCTTCCTCATCTTCCTCTGCTCCAGCTGCAACAGGTAACACTCAGTAGGTTAGGAGGCAATGGATTTTCTTGAGTGAAATATTGCAGAGATTGAAATAGCTGCATGARTAACCAGTTACCAAGAATTACTAGAGACTGAGGTAATAAAATAAATTACCATAAAATACTAAGTTTTTGTGAAGTAGTCACTTCATATTTTCAGATGTCTAAGTCATGCTGCCCTGCCTTTTGCTATGATGTCTCACAGGCACGTTGGTGACTTGGCTTAGTCACATCAGCTTTTATCCCTGGGGTAACGTATTTGGGAATTCAGCTCTGTGTAGAATTTCTTTCAGTGCAAACTTGAACAGTTCTTAATGGTTTTCTGTGGTAAAGCAGCAACCTAATAATACTTTCTTTTTTTTTCTGTAGAAGAAAAATGCTGTTGTACCTGCTAGGTGCTTTCTGTCTTAAGCTGAAGCCTTAAATTTTAGCTGAAAAGCTTTTTGGAAGCCAATATTTCTATCTTTCCTGAGAGCAGTTGCAACCCTCCCAGGCTTTGGCAGGACAGGAGCAGCATGTGGCTTCTGGTCCCTCAGCAAATACTCGTCAGCTGCATTCCTGCATCTCCAGGTTGGGTGCATGGCAAAGTCAGTTGGAAAGGGTGAAGCAGAGCCCTTTTCTGTCCTCAGTCCTTCTGGGAGATGCTGCCCTCCCTAAGAGGCCAGGGTAGACCCACCAAGTGAAAGCTTGCTTTTCCAGTTCATTATTTGGAATATTAGTTTGGCCATGATTTCTGAGAGAATGGAGAGTTTGGCAGAATGAGCTCTATGAAGTYTCTATATATGAGGTTTCTATAACCTATTATCAATTGAGAAAATTAGGCAGGCTGAATAGGGCAAAAAACATAGGTAAAAAAGGAAAAGCAAAACAGTTCCTAGGGATTTGAACTTTATTTGGCCATTGCTGGAGACAACAAAATTGATCCTGCAATTAATCCAAAATGATTAAGAATCAGAGAAAGATACTAATGAATGACTTGAACTCATAAATACTTTATTCTCTTCTCCATGACAGGGTTCRATTCCAGCAATATAGACACTTTTACTTAGTGTTTTCAAGTTTCAAGCCCCTTTCAAAATGTATAACTTTAGCCCAGCAGGTGAAATAAGGGACAGTTTTAAAACATACTTTCAAAAATAAATTGCATGCAGCTGTATATCATGTTCTCCAGGATTTTGCAAATGTGTCCAGAATCCTGATGGATTTTTGAGAGAAAAAGAAATACTCTCAGTTTWCATTTAATTAAACATTTTATTTAATAAATCCATAGGCCAGATTAGTCRGGCCTGTCATGGAGAGACCTAACAKAGGTTATAGGTAGTCTGTACCTCAATGTCCCTGAACATGTCAGATGTGATTAAAAGCAGGGATATGATTCACAGTGTTTTGGTTATATTCAGTTACTCCTTMCACAGGAACGAGAGAAAGGTTTGTGTGTGTGTTTGTCATGACTCCTGAGATAYGAGCATCACCACATTGTGGTGGCCTTACACTGAGGTCACACCAGTCCCCGTAATAATTTTCAGTTATTCATATTACAATATTAAGGTGAATTGCAGTTCTGCTCCCAAGAGGTGCATACAGTCTATTAATGATCGACACTTGCTTATTACCATAAATTGTAGTAAAACATGATATGTATTCACTAAGGGAGAAGAAGCCCAAGCATCAGAACGGAGATCATGAAAATCTGATGAATGTGGTAAGTGTCTATTTGTATTTATCTTATTTCTATTTTATTGGCATGTTTATTTCTTGCAGTTATCTTACACTGAAGTCTTTGCAAATATTGTGAGCTGGAATATAGGTAAGGGCAAACTGCAAGAAAATTTTCAGAATAGGAAAGAGCAGGTAACTTCTGTTAAATTCCAATAACCTGAGATTTTGTTTTACCAAATCTCCTGCCTTCCTTTCACTCAGGTTGCTGTGCAAGTGCAGTGGTCAGGTGCTAATTTCTTACTAGAAAAAGCCATGATAATTCCTTACAGARTTTGGATGGGAGATTGCCCTGGATATACCTGCTTTTATTGTTTGTTTTGACATCTTTAAACATAGGYCCATAAATCTTCTGAGTACCATAGGAGAGATTTGTCTCTCCCACCAGTACTGCATGTGAGTTAGAGCTCCTGAGATCAGAGTAAAATCCATGGTGTATGCAACTGTGTCTACAAACACTTAATCCACCTAATTTGTGTTGTAGCCTTCTGATAAGGAGATGTTCAGCCACTCCATCACCAGTTCGGCCACCGAGCCTCCTCCAAGCAGCGAGCAGAACGGGGTGCTCAGCAATGGTGAGGGTGAGTAGCACTGCTTGCCATGGGCTGAACGAGAGGGACGTGCCCTTGCTCATAGATCCCAAGCTGCCTGCCACAGTTCTAACCTATCACAGTTTAGGTTCCTAGGCATCAGCTTTCCTAGGGTACAGTCTATTTGCCTGACCTCCCTGTGTTTTCCTCTGATCATCCCTGGAGGTCTCATACCAGAGCAGCTGCTCAAATCCTGCATCCCAGGGCAGTAACAGACCTCCGAAAGGAAGTCCTTTKTGGTAAAGAACTTGATTCACACAAAGCTTACCCAGTTTACAGCCGTGCCATGCTGCCTGAGACTGTCACTTGATGAAAGCATTAAAACATCAGGATCAGCCTCTTACTCACACACTGTGCTGTTCTSCTCAGTCACAAGCCTTTGTTCAGGTTCATGATAAACCTGATAGAGGAGTAGATCCAGCTAGGAAAAAAATTCTTTGCCAAAGTTGTTAGACAAGCTCCAGTCTGGGTTTGAGGGTGTGCATCTGCCTTGATCTTCCTTACAGATGCATTTAGGTCACTTTTTGGCATTTCAGGTTCTTCATCATTTGGGCCTTTAGGTCACATCAGTCTCTATTTCCTCCAAGCTGGAATGAAACTTCAGAAGTTTCCTAGCTAGATTGTGTTATTGGGATTAGGATTCCTGAGGATTTGCAGCAGTTAATTCCATTGTCCCTAGGTACTGCAAAAATCTTTCTTTTGATTGGGAACGTAGTTGCTTTCAGACACTAAAGCAGAATAATGGTGGTTTTCAGCTCTTCTAAAAAAACTCCTACAAACTGCCATTTTTATATTTTTGTGATCTCTTTCCTTCCTGCTTTTTTTTCCCTAGTCTCTTAATCTACCCTCTACAAACTAAAGCATGCTTAGATGTAAACATATAGGTCATCCCACTGAGTTTCTGCGTTGTTAAACAGGTAAGTATTGCTGGGATTAGCACTATGAACACCTCAAGGCACAAACTAGTCTCTCTGCAGGTTAGGAAATGTAAAAATGATTTTAGGCACTAATTCTAGAAGATTTAGTAGATAGTAAGCATCCCCAAAGTAGTCTAGGTCAAAGAGAAAGCACAACACACTTCCCAGGCCTTAGTTCAAAGAGAACTTGAGCAGTATTCTTGATCACTCACATGTATTTTTGTRTTTTAAAAAGCAGGAAACATAAACAGGATTCCTTTTTCTTCTTTAATCTTTGCTTTGCTGAACACTCAGAATGATTCACACTCAAGTAACACTGGAAAATATTTTACTCAGCTGATCCTAAAAATAGGCACGTTTGCACTTCAGAGCTCCCAGGAGCCAACTGTTCCCTCCGGATGAGACACTGACACAGTGGGCTGCGTTCCCCAGCTTAGAGCGGAACGCCTCATCTCACCGTGAGCCTGGAGGCTGCACTGGGAAACCTGGACCTCTTGGAGACAAGTGGCCAGAGGGGTTTTTAAACTTTCTTTTTGCAGTTAATCCCCACTCCCTTACATTGACTTGTTTCGTATTTAGGTGTGTTTTGCTCAGAAGTGAGTCAATGCAGAGAGCAGAACCACACAGGAGGGGACTGTGTGTTTGCKGCTAGTCACCAGTCAGCTCTCAGAAGGTCCTGCTAAAAGGCATGCTGTCAACTAGCAGTTCTTAGCCTCAGCTTACAGTTAGCATAACAACCCTTCTGACTAACCAGAGCTGTTTAGCTTTAATKTATTTCTACTTTACACAACCAAAGGGCTCTGTGTAGTGCACAGTGCCCTGAACACAAGGGCCATAAGGTAAAAATAAATGATGTTGCAGCTTCTGCAGGCACTTCCTGATGTTCCTCAAGAACTGGGCAGGATTCCTTGTGTGTCAACAGTTCCTCTCCAGTCGCATGCAGGAGTCAAATGACTGAAAAATGACGTTTTCCTTCTCTTCTCCTCGTGCTTCCCATTCAGACAGTGCTTTGCATCTCATGCCTTAAGTCCCATCCTGAGTTTTGCTGTCAGGTTACAGCTCCCTAGGGGGGATGTTAGCATGTAAGAGTGTTTGCCCAAAGCACAAGAGAAAAGAAACCTATGTAACAACCACCAAATCAATAGTACTGATTGCTTTGGCAACACATTGTGTTGCAATGTCAAACACTCTAAAGAAAATAGGGGAATGGGTTGATTTTTCTTAGTCTAAGATAGTGCCGTAGGAACTGTAAAATAAGGCTATTCAGAAGTGATTTTTCAAGGAAATGCAGTCAAATAAAGTAACATACCATRTACTATCAGAAACACGCACATATGTGTCTGTATATCCATGACTGCAAGCAAATGTCTTACATGTGCACTGTAAGATGARAAGTCCCGTTTCAATCCCATATACCCATTTTGTGACAGTGACATGAGACCCACTTGTATAACTTAAAATAACATAGTAACAGGTTCTGCCTAACACTACTTTCTAATGTCTAATCTTCTCTTTTGTGCATATGGCTGGCTTGTTAGTAAGTTGTCAGCCTACATTATGTGCTGCGAGACTAAGGAAAGTGTGGCATAGCCTTCCGATAAGGAGCTGCTGGTGTAGCAATGGGCAGCCTTCAACAGGGTGGGACTAGATGTTCCACTTGGCCAGGTTGTTAAACCAGGTGAGGACTGCATAGGGAGGAAGCAGAGTTGTGTTCTCCTCTGGTTCCAGAAGGTAGGGAATTGGAAAAATAAAAAAAAAAGAATAATGAGACTTTTCTTTTAAATGCACTTGGTTCTAGACTTCACACCAGCGTTGCCCATGTGAGGATACTCAGTGGTCTGGTCTGTACACGCTCTGTAAAACTGAGTACAAGCTAGCTGAGCATTCCTGCATCCCTGCCCCTGTCCAGTAATCCTCAGCACTCGCTGTGAACCCAGCTGTATCTCAAGTGATCTGAGGGGCACAGAGCMCTGATGATGCTGTGAGGATGACGTTTTAACAGTAGAGTGCAGCAATCTCCTTAATAGAAATTTTATGGTTAACTGAGAGGATGGTGACTACTGGAACATTTCCATGAATTTATATTATTTATCCTTTCCTGTGAAAGATACAAAAAACTAAATAACGTGGTATATACTAAATTGCACTTAGTCTTTTTYAGTCATGCAAATCCTTAAAATAATTCTTWATAATTTTCTTTAGTTCTCTCACARGACAGTACAACTGCCTGCATCCAGCCTTATGAAGACGTACAAACATCTGTCTCTGATCTGCTAGATCAGCAGGACAGTCTTGGAAAATCCCTTAAGTGTCACCAGAGCCGGGAATTACCCAGTATTCCTCCTAACAGTACCATGGAAACCCTCATCTCAGCTAGAAATGCAGAAAATGATCAAGGCCTTGGAATGGAAGGGCCTTATGAAGTCCTGAAAGACAGCTCCTCTCAGGAGAACATAGTTGAAGACTGCTTGTATGAAACTGTGAAGGAAATTAAAGACGTCGGAGCAGCGGCCAACGTGGAAAGAAGCTGTGGAAACAAAGCGAGAGTTTCACTGGTGGTTTCTGAAGGTCAGCATCAGATCCCTGAGTGCAGAATTGAATCAGCAGAGTATGCATCAGTTGATCGGAACAAAAAAAGCCGCCAGAGTGCGAATTCAGACAGCCCTCTTGGCAGCACACCCGACGTGGAGGATGTGGAGGATGAGCCCCCGCCGCCCGTACCCATGAAACTTCTTGACGAAAATGAGAATGAGCAAGAAGAAAAAGTGGAAGAAGARCAAAAGACAGAAGGAACAACGAAACCAGAGAAGGTAAACACTGCAAATGCTTATCATTGCTGGACAATCGTATAATGACAGAGAGAAAAACTCATTTTGAACCTAACTGGAGGGAGAGGGACATAGATTTTCTTTCTTTTTTTTTTTTTCAATAATCCTTTACTGTTAAAATCACAAAAACAAAGAACATCAAGACAAAAACAAAGAAATATGAAAATGCACAAAATAACCTCCAAAGTATCAGGTCAGGTATTCATTCCRCTGGAGCCTCAGTTTCTCATTGCTGCGGGGTGCCGTTCCCAGATATCACACAGAAATTGCATAGGAAGCCTCTGCTTCTGTTCTGATGGCACTGCACTTGTGGAAGCTGCTGCAGGAGGAGTCTGGTGTCTCAGTTAGCGTGTGCATCTCTTTCAGAAGCTCCTGCTTGCTTTGTTTCCTTGTAAAATCTAAATTTACAGGAAGGAGAGTGGGTTAGAAGCCCTAGCTTCAGGAATGCTTCCTTGTGAGTTCTGTTATGTGTTTAAGCCACTCACCTTGTCTCCCTTTTTAGGACAGAGAGAGGGACAAAGAGTTATAACTGTAGCATTTTAAAACCTAAGATTTGCTTTTGGTCTTGTCTTCGCTGCTYAGCAATTCTGTAGCACAGAGGGTCACAGCTGAAAGAGTACTGAATGAATACCTATATTAATCCTTTTCAGCATTAGACCTTGAAAGATTTGAGCAATTTATTAACCTACAGATTTTATACTTGTCAAATTCTATATGTCACATGTAAACAGAGAAATAAATTTCTGCCTGGGGAAATGACAGCCAAAGGCTGCTTTTCATCAGCAACTTATTATTCTTTCCCTCAGACTGGGGACAACTTAGTGGCGAATTGCTTGAAAAATAGAATGATCAAAAATCAGCAAATTGGTTTATTTTACCATTTTAATTTTTTACACAGAACTAATTAGAGACATCCTTTGAAATTATCAGACTGAGTTGTCACAAATTGTTGGGTTGGCATTTTCAGAACTAGTGTAAATAATAAGTTATTAGTTGTAAATGAAAGCACTGTGATTTTAGCAGATTCATGTAATTCTGGTGTTTGAGTTGTCGAAGTGCTAGCTATTGATGAAAATTTTCAAAAATATTTAATATTTSATGTGACATTTTAATGTAAACATTTATCTGAAAAAAATAATTGTCAGAGCTGAGGAATTATTACTTGTTTCCGGACATTCTTGCATTTGAAGTATTTCAATAATCCTGGCAGAGGGCTGAAAAATACCTTGTTAAATAACCACTAAACATATTAGCATAACTTTACATATAAAGCATAATAGAGCTCAAATGAATAAACTGAAGAATACTCATAATCCAAAAATTGTTCATCCGGATTCTGCAGAGTACATTCTTGCAAATAATAAGCTCGTTAGTAGAAAATTAACATGGGTTTCTCAGTATTAATCCACCAGGCCTCCCCTCCTATCACTGAATTCGGGACATATGTAATTCTTAATTAGTCTTTTAGAGAAACAGCTTTCAGTAACAACGGCATTTTTCCTACCAGGTGTGAAAAGTCTTCTAGAAAATCATTCTATTTCCCAGTCACTGATACAAAAAAAGATAAAAAAAAGCACTTACTACCCTGTAGCTCCCCAACACACCGTGTACACAATGTCAGTAACTGCACAGACTGGGAATTGATTAAAATGGTTCTGGTTTTGAAGGATTAATCAAGAGATGACACATGCAGTCCCCTAAGCACCAGGAAAAAAAAAGGTGTTTGCCTAATTAAAATTTATTCAAAGCTAAACTCACTCTGAATTAAAGCTTTGGCAGCATCAAATCGCTCCCACGTACTCTGCTAGGTACATGCATAATGCATTGAAGTGTGTGCGTGTCCTGTCCTTGAGAGCTACAGCTGCAGCAGAGTTGAAAATGGTAATTGATTGAATATATAAATGTCATTATTGCTGGAATTGTACATGGAGGTAGTTGGGGGATTGTTTTTCTGTTGTGATTATGATAATTTTTCCCTCTATTTTGCTTCTTCAAGCAGTGCACAGCAATGGCTATTTTGCTCTGATATGATAACCAAAAACCAAGTGGTTGGTGGCAACCAAGTTGTTTACATAAATATATTTTAAATTTACAGCTCTGTTAGTTAAGGAGTGTGTTTATTTTTTGCTTTATCTCTTGTGAAGCTGCTTAGCTGCCTTGCTGGACGTGACATCCATATCCCAGCTTCCTCAGCCTACTGAGCTGACCCCCGACGAGCAGGGAGACTGGCGCAACSGTGTCCTGGTTCCATCAAAACCAGGGAGGTTTTGCTTAGCAGGGCTCAAAACCAGCAGGCCGCAGGTGGAGAAAGGCCACGTGCCTGSGGCAGGGAGGGTGTTGGTGTAAGCGAGGCTGTTGTGCCTGTGAAGGAGACGTGTCCGGGCTGTTTCAGTCTCTTACCCCTCAAAAGCAGGTGGCTTCACCCAACCACCACTTGGGAATGATCTCCAGCCCRTGTCAGTCCCTGAAACATGTGCAAGAGGGACGGTGTTAGCTGCTCCAAGCTGGAGACTGTTCCAATATTAAACAGTATAAAGAGGTGCTCCAGCGTCACAGTTAGTCCTTAGTGCTATTTAATTTACTACTACAGGTATAGCCTGGTAAAAATGAACAGTCCTTAGTCTCCTACTAAGCAACAGAGAAGCACTTTACTTATTCAGAATTCTTTCCTCTAACACTGACATGTAGTTAAATACAGGGATAAAGGATCACTTCAAGAGCTAGGCACACAATAAACAGGGAAAAGTAGTTATCYGAACTATTGTTGGACATGAGCCAGMCCAATCCCGGGGAAGACTTTGGTGAAGAGAAGCACCTTTAATAGCACAATGCCTCTGAGCGGCCTCTAGTACCTAGAAAATCCTGGTCATGTAGTTCTTCTAATAAAACTGCAGAGTCAGGGGTTTTATTTTAGTTCTTCCTTGGTCAAAAAAAAAAAGGAAGTAGAAATCTTCTTTTTACGCAGGTCTCCTAGAATGAGCAGTGCCAGGAATGTGGGAGAGATGCTGTTTGTGTGTGTGKGGGTACATGTGGCTGCTGCCCATCTGATTTCAGACTCGCGCAGCCTGAGGACGAGCAAAGCGTCTCTCAGAAACCCTCCCGARGAGAATGAGCTTCTTGTTCTGGTGCCTGGGCCGGGAGCAGCAGCTGAGCCAAACAGCAAGAAATCGAGTGCCGTTGAACAAAAGAGAAGTGGAAATAAAGCAGGGACATGTGCTGTTGTTGTTGTTGAGGTTTCAAGCTGTATGTATGGTGTTGCCAGGTGAAAAATTGCTTAGGAGCAAATTTTTTTTTCAGTACCCAAGAGGATGAGATCCTTCAAAATCGATGGGTCAAAATTGATGCAGTTTCTACATTTAGACAACAGAAGGAATGCAACGTACACGGGGAATGAGCCGCATCGTCAGCAGTCTGGGATATTTCTCAGTATTTGACTGTAGAAACACAGAAAGGCTCCTGACTCATGATGCTTATAGACACACTAAAGAAAATTACATATTGCCCAATTTTCCTACCATTATTATTTGTTTTAATGTGCAAGGAGGAAACTATTAACCTACTCCTCAACAATAAGAACATCCTGCAAGTAAGAAAGGCTAAACCGAGCTGCTGAAGTATAGCAGATCCAAGAAAAGGCTCTGCTAAAATATATGAACTAATCCTTTTATTTTTATTTTTTATTTTCATGAGTAAACAAAGCACAGGTTAAAGAGTGTGTTGTGCAGACAGTGAGAAATAAGGAAGGGAGGTAAGGCTGGACTAAGGCCTACTGAGACCAGTGGGCAGAGCTCAGGGGGCTGTGKGTCAGAAACGCCGTCAGAACTGCGTCAGAACTTCAGAACTTAATATTTACCAGAAGCAAAAGCAACGGGAAAAATGCAAGTAGGAAAGCATCTGTTTTAATAAACCTCTGTGGGAAAAAAAAGTCTCTAATATGTTTCTGGAAGTTGGACTTCTTTAATTCAGACAAAAGTAGCTCTACTTGTCTTGCTCTACTTGTCTACTTGTCTTGTCCAGTCTTGGTCTGCACTGGAGGACACCTGAAATATTTTGGGTGAAGAGTTTGAGTAAAACTGCAGTCTATGGCCAATGATAAACGGTGTTGGAAGGCTCCCTGTGAATGAGTGTGGAGCAGAAGCTCCAGCTGGGAGCAGCCACACAGCCCCTGCGAGGCAGCCACGGCCTTGATCACCGTCAAGGCCCTAACACCTTCTTCTGAACAGCAAAAGGGGTTGTCCTGGTGTTTCATGACCTTACGTTTTGCACACCTAAAGCTAACTTGGCACTAAACCAAACCCTTCATCCTGTGCACTGTGATTAACCTCCATGTGTGGATTGCTGATGTGTTTGAGAAGTTAGCTCYTCCTTTCAGGCTGGGTTCACCAGGTCTTTTTTGTGTGAGGCAGCATTGCCCCGCACTTGGGAGCAGTTGCCGTGTTTCAGGAAGCTACAGCTCCCTGGAGCACTTGTGGAAGCCTTTGAATAAAGGATAATAATCATTAGGACGGTGCTACTCTAGGTCCTTTGAATCTAGAAGTATATGTGAAAATTATGTAAAAGGCTTACTATCGTTCCACAACAGTTCAGTTTTAATTGTTAATGTGCCTTTGCAGACTCTTTCTCACTTAATTAGAAATCTAAATGCAGAGAGAGAGTGGAGCAAAGTTTGTTTTAACCTCTACATTATTTTCACTCATTTTTTGAGGTCAGAGCAAGAGCTGATGCATTAAAAGGCTCTGCTAACCCCTGGGCTGTTGATCTCCAAAGACATACTGTGGATATTAGCTATGTAGAATGGAACTAGTGAGCAAATGACCATAAAATATAATGTATTGATTGTAATGGGAGAGTTTTATTACAGGTTTCACATTGTTGACTTGTAATGAGCCTTTCCTTTTTTCTTTTCTTTTTTTCAGAGGCTTAGTTCGGTGTCTTACAAGTCTCGAGAGGAAGATCCATCTCTTACAGAAGATGATGTAGGTTTCTTGCATGAAATTCAATAACTGACTAGAGACCTTTTTCAAGCAGAAATTAACATAAGCCCTGCATGATTAAGCAGGATCTAAAAAAGGCAAAAATTGTCTGAGAGGAAAATAAAAGTGGAGATTTTGCTGTACATAGTTTGTAGAATCACATTCCTAAAACCAGAAGTATTTTAGCATTTGGTTTTATGAAGCCAAGAGGTTAAAAAATGGTGGCAGTCAATAATGGGAGGCCACAACTCGCCGATTGCTAGAGCTGCCTCTTCCYTGATCTGAGTGAAGAGTGCCACTTAAGAACGTGAATCAATGGCCTTCAGCAGCACGCTCCACCCGCCCTATTTAAAGAGTTTGGGGCTCTGAGAAATAAACTGTAGCACAATGAAAATACTGGAACACACATTGTGAAGATGTTTGCTAGTTGAATAAATTGAGGACACTGAAACAAAGACAGAAAAGTTAAACAAAAGTAAGGTGGCCTGTGATCATCTCCAGTAACCCYTGTGCAATCTATAAATACATTCCCCAGACATAAAAGTAAACACAAACCTGGCAGTCAGTTGAGTGAGCTAATGCTATCTGCAGGGAGAAGCACTCACAAGCATTAGCACATACACTCATCCTTGAACTGGATTCATGTAATTTAAGGCTAGGAAGAGGTAGATGCAGAGCTSAGCAGCAAAGCTCTTCTTTTGTTTGTTTGGGCACTTTTTTTCACTTTGGGGCTGAAATACGTAAAAGGTAAGAATCATTGGCATTTGCGATTTGATATCTCTCTTCATCAGAGAATARTAACCATATTAAAGGAAGTGAGTTATCTACACCACTCAGTGTTGTTAAATGTAATAGACATTTGCATGCTAATCTACTAGTTAATTAGCCTAATCCAAATTCAGAGTGGCCTTGCATGCTTGGAAAAGATTTTAAATGTAACGGAAGAGATGTGTTGCAATTGTGATGGTACATATCATAAAACCAAAGCAGGGGATTTCAGTCTTCTGCCTTGTGAGCGGATAGATTCACAGATTCACAGAATATTTAAGGTTGGAAGGGACCTCTACAGATCRTMTAGTCCAACCTTCCYGCTCAAGCARGCACACCTACAGCATGTGGCACAGGGCGGCATCCAGGYGGGTTTTGAAGACCTCCAGAGTAGGAGACTCCACAACCTCCCTGGGCAATAGTTTGCAATTCACTTTGGAGAAAGAGTCAAAAATCCTATGAAACCTTGTGAAATCCTATCAGTGAGATCCCACGTCCCTGCTAGCACCTATAGTCACTACAAACCACTACCATGCTGTTGTAGTGTGTCTAGAGCAAAACAGTAGCCACTACCATAAAAAAAAAAAAAAAAGCATGAAGTTCAAATTGCACCCTTGTCCCAATTTCCAAGGTTGTTTGCCTGCAAGGGAATGTTCAGAGGTTTTTTACATTTAGAAACTTCAGCATCCTTTGTTGAAGGAAAATCAATTTATAAATGCATGCAAGATTTATAAGGATTTTTTTTTTCTTTTTTATTGAATGCTGCAATTCTCCATTAAGCAACTGATATATTTATGGTTGAGGGGTACAACTCCCACATGAGTGCTGGCCGTGCTTAAATACTCAGCAGGTGTCTCCTTTTCCTAGATCTCAGCCATGTACTCCTCGGTGAGCAAGCCAGGACAGACCATCAAGGCACTGGATTCTACCTACACCTGTATTCAAGAGGTTGCGTCTGCGAGGTCTCCATCTGTTTGCAGCGGTCTCTATGCAAGTGTGAAGGACTTTGAAAACACCCTAAATGCTACCACCGTGCCTCAGCCCGTGGACAGGCCCAACGGGGAGTTGGAGCCTGACTACGAAGCTATCCAGACAGTGAGCCAGGAAGAAGACAGGACCTTGTCTGTGCCTAACACAAACCACACTGCTCTCTCAGGAGAGAATGACTATGAGAGTATAGGGGACTTGCAGCACCACAGGGATTTCACCAGACTTTAACGACTCTGGCATCCAGATTTCAGCATTTATCCTATCAGCTGGTGGATTCAAAGGAACGTGGGAATTAGGAAGAGAAGGTTCTTCTTCCTGAGGAACCAAGTTAAGTACAGTTCCTCACCAAGCTGTGAGGAAGCGGTGTATGTTTCAACCAGGGTGCAATATCCTTTCGGTTATTCTTGGTTTCTTGGATGTGCTTGGTTTCTCGGATTGCAGCTCACTAGAAAGGTGGCATCCGTTCACAGTTAGGATCAGAACAATGTAAAGGCTTTTGTATTGCTACTTCCAAGACAACCAGAGTTTGGGAATATGGCAAAGAGTGCCGTGTTTGTCTTCTTAAGAAGATCACATACCAAAAAGACTGCCTTTACACAAAGCTAGTTTTTCATTTTAAAAGATCATGTCATTTATTCCAAGGTGTTTTTCAAGAATCATTTTTTATTCACGTTCATCCATCATCTCCGTTGCTCTAATCACAGATTGTCATGCTTCAGCTCAGACTTCTTTTGTAGGGATGGGGAAGGTGTGTTAATGCCTCTTGGGGAGCTCTGTAATTCAGCTTGCTAGGACTATTGCAGCCAGACAGGACTGGAGATGAAGTCAGAATACCAACATGTTCCACTCCGCTTTCATTACAACTAGAGTACTTTACTTCACAAGGGACCTACTCCAGATGTACTTGAATTAATTCTGTAGGCTTTTTCTTTCTTTTTTCTTTTACGGTAAGGGCTGTAGAACTTGACTTGTGATATTTAAGATTCCTAGTGATGTTTGTAGGGTTTGTTTTGTTTAATTATTTGTGATTTTTTTTTTAATGTCACCCTTAGCGTTCTTGCTCTATTCCCCTCCCTTCATGTGCACACATAATACTTACACACTCCAGACAACTGTCATGTTGCATCAAAAAGCCGTGCAAATAAATGCATTGGCATAATGTTCAGTCTAACTTTACAGCCTTTAGTTACTTTTTTAAGATATTTGCTCTTTGTTTTTAGAGTTTAAAATACTTATAATCTAGTTTATTATGTAGGAAAATATATGCACTGACGTGGATGATAGGTTTCATTTTTACGATATATTTTTTGTGTTCAAAGTTATTGTAGATTAACTTACTGTTTTATGTAACAGAAGGAATCCTACGGATTGGGATTGGACCTTATTTGTTTTTCCTTTAAAGAACACGTGCTATATTAGAAGCATGTAAATGAACAATTGCTATTGTTTTATTATCCTCCTAAGCAGGGGTGTGGAACCTGCCTTGCTGTTCCTAGGCTCARAATTACAGAGCCTGTGTAAAAGAACAGTGTTTCCGGGCAAAAAAGAGGAAGAGGAAAGAATGGGTTTAGTCTGGGATAATCGCAGCTCCTCTTCTGGTAAAAGGAGCAGGAGAGTAAGAGCTGAAGGGGACAAACAGTTTGAAAGCTGTTGTCATTGCAAAGATACCAAGTTATTTTSCAAGTTACTCTTGCTTCTACTAAAAACAAAGTGTAGTGCTTGGATGGAGCCTGTAGGTATTGGGTTGATACTTTTGTTTTCTTCCAGAATAGTACAGTGGGCCACTCCAACAATATAGAATGGGCATTGTGTCATATGTATATACAGGTGCACACGTTTGTAGTTATGTATATACATGTGCACGTATCCTTCTGCATATGTATCGCATATACATGTAATTTGGATTCAAGTATAAATAACTGTCCAGACTTGATAGCACTCATGTACATAATATTTAGCATGTACTTGAAGAGTAATTTATATTTACTTTAAAATAAACAGCACATAAGCTGTGATTGGCTCGCAGCATAGTAGTCTAGAATGGGTTGAGTTTCCTGAAATTGATTTTTGGCATATCTAATTTAGTCTTTCTAAATAAAATTACTGGCCAGCATCACACCAGTACTTGCTACAATAAATAGCAAAAATAGATTGTATTTATTTATTACAAATCATTTGAGAGCTGAAAGAAGTGAACTGCTTTATGGACTTGGCCTGTATTGCAGTGGCTTGAAGAGCAGCACAGACAACCCCTGCCTGCATTAGGGTGAATCAGACTTCCTGGATCCTGACCTCATGCATCTGGGTAGGAAATTTGAGCTATGACTCTCTTCATCAAAAAGAGTCATAAAAGCAGTTCATGCTACAAGATGGACGCATCTTGTTCTTGATCATGCCCTCATGCTCTCTCAGTTACAGGAAACTCTTGGCTTCCACTTCATTGCAATGTCTTCCTCGTTTAAAACTGACTTTCCTTGTCCTTTTGGGACTTTTTTCCTTCAAAAAAAAGTTTCTATTCCCCTGAATGTGAATTAATGAAGTTCTTCGTTGACTGTTCTTTTCCTCTACTTCATACTGAAAAYGGCCAAAGATAAGCTCTCTCATGCTTCAGAAGACCTTCTGTGATAAGCCTGGAGAGTGTCTAAGTCTTTAGCTACGTGTTTTCTGTCTGCTCCTTGCCCCGGGGTACTGGTTTATACTGCCCTCAGTCTGACTCCTGCAAATCAGTGGAAGATATTTCCCAATTCCTGAGTTTCCCAAATTCATCTAAGGTTGCATTTATCCCTTAAGGACTGCCTTCCACATTACCTGGAGAAACAGTAACAGCATGAGGATTGTAAGGTCCACTAAAGGAAATCTTAATACGAGCTTAAAGATCAAAAGATAACATGCTGGTAAAGAAAAAAGTTAAACTCCTGATTGMCAAATTTTAGGTTGCAAAAAAAGAAAGTAATGCACTAGTCAAAGACTGTCCCACCATTTGTTCCTTGCTGACATTCAAGATGGATATGAGATTCAATCCCATCTTTCTGAGCCCTGGGCTTCTCTGGCCTGCTCCTCCCCTCTCTTTGTTGGTATTTTTCACCTGGCTCGTACACCCCTGCACGGGGAGCAGATACGGGGCTGCTGTGGTGCTGACACTTCCATTCTGCTTTAAATGATGCTCAGCGTGGTCACAACTTTTCCAGTGTGGCTGTCTTTGAAAGCAAAGAAAGAGCTTTCGTGGTAGATGGGCTCTTAGACTGTGTTTTATTTTCTTTTTTGTCTCACCTTTTACAAACGGGAGTTTAACCTTTTCTCTTTACAGCTCCGTCAGTCGTGTATTGTAGGTATATGCTTTACCCACTTCTCTTCAAGCTCTCAGTCTCTGGGTGTCTCCGGGTGTAAGCTCTCTGGGTGTAGAGTCTCTCACTCTACAGATGATAGAGTAATACAGACCTAATTTAATAGTAATACAGACCTAGTTTAGTGCAAGCTTCCATCCCCACTTTGCCTTTTGATTCTGTGATTCTTATCCTGGCAGTCTTAGCTGAAGGAAAGCTCTGCTTCCAGTCCAGACCCTCTRCCTGGTAGGGGAGGAGTCCTGGGTCCGATTGCTGGACTTCAGATGTTTGGTCCTCACCATAGGAGCACTTACACTGGACTCCTGGGAGCCACGAGCAGGAATTACCCACTCCGAACAAGATCTCATGGGAGAAGTCCAGAACTCCCCTGCAATCTCCATTATATAGTCCAGTGCTAAAGAAAAATATTTTAGAATTCCATCCTGGATTCTTAAATCACATCATTTGACAAGGGTGTAAATTTTCATTTCCTTTGCTGATGTTGGCACTGCTTCTTTTTCACTAATACATTGAATGGAAAGATTTTTTGCAACAGTCATCCACAGTTAGATCAATCTTACTGTAAAGAGTCTGTCATCGCTACCTTCTCTCTTTCACCACATCTCAAAATACCCTATTTCACCCTAAATAAGATGTCAGCATCCAACATGAAATGTTTCTTACCTGGGGCTACTTAGCAGTACCCCCATTTGTTGGTAAAACTATTTAAAATTGTGTAATAAGATCTCACTTCAAATCACCACAGAAAAGTCAAGTACAATTGCAATGCATGTATAGCTAAACTAGAGGAAAAGTCTTTGCTGTCTTTTTTAATGGATTTGTTTCTCCTGTAGGAGTTCTGACCTAAATCCAGCAGTCCCCTTCTACCATGGCAAGATCAGAATTAAGTTCTTTAAAAATATCTGTAGTGTGGGCATGTCCCTTTTTACTATAGTTAGATCAGTCACAGTGCCTTTTTTACTATGTATTTAGTACTTCCATTCTCTTTTAGAAGTGTTTGTTTAGCAAAAAAATAGTAGAAAGAGAGAGCCCTTTCTCTTACACTTACTCATCTAAGCGGGAACCAGCTTTATGAAGACACAGACCTCAGTTATCCCTAGAATAGCAATAGTTTCTCACAGACTTCCCAGTAATGTAGCTACAACAACTAAACTTTGCAATAAGAATTTTCTGTCTTCTTTGGGAAAACCTGAGTTTTCCCAGCAGTGAGCATTCAGGGAGGTGATGTTCTGTGTCCATGTCAACTGCAAACAAGCAGTTGCTCCGTCTTCGTATTTGTATCAATTACAGGCCTGCTTCTCTGCATGGAATGGGGGCAGTGGCGCAAGCGGTGCCACGGTGCAGGTCCATTAGTCACCCCGGGCTGGGACAGGCCACAATAGCAGCTGGCTGAGGATCAGCTGCCTGCGCGGAGCCCTAGTGTGCCCTGCCCTTGGGGGCTCCATTTCCCGGGATTTTTCCAGCCTGTGTACTTCTCCATGGCTCCCTGAACAGCTCCTGCTGGCTGTCGTGATCAGAACTCTGTATACACGGTGCTCGCTGTTAAGCCTTTCAATGGTGCTTTTATAAGATGCTGGATAAACAATTTCAATGTGCTTTCTGGAAGCTGACAGGGACCGTTGTGACACGGAGCATTCGCTCCAGTATTTCGGCTTCACGGAGCTCAGCRCTAGCCGTGTTGCTGGCTGCAGGAGGCTCATGGTGCGTCTCTGTTTCTTCTTCATCCCACATAGAAGCAAAATGTTGTGCTTAACAAGCCTGTCTTGGGCAGTAGCAGCTACTCAGGCCAAGTGCTGTGGATGGAGAGTCATGTATGAGACACATGCCTGCAATCTGTGTAGTGTGGGATCAGGAACATCACAGACCCCATCTCCAGGTCTTTCTGCTATTTCCTATTGTGTATATACATTTGTTTACAATATGACTGTAGGAAATCTGTTTCTGCAACAAACTGCTAGTTTGGGCTAAATTTCAAAATAAGATTTTTGTTCTTAGTCAAATTACCATTATTTCAGATGAGTGTTATGCATTTAGGTTGGAACACGCCCGAATAAGGCTGGTAGGTGCCTCACAAGTATCTCAGTGCAAGCAGTCTCTTGCAAAAACATGAGGCTTCAGAAAGAGAGATTCGGTATCACAGATGCTCTTGAGGTGCAGTGCCGAAGAAGCAGAATTGCTATTAACATGGTAAGCATAATCATTTCATACTCTGGTGCTGAAATAGATTTGTAGCATCTTTTGGGGGATGGTTATGGCTGAAAAAAACTATTTTGATATCAACTGCAAGCTATCCAGATACTAACATTGTGGAAGGTATGCTGACAATAAATGCTATGGCTAGAGCATCACAGAGGTAAAACTACTGAGTTCCTTTTTTCCTATTTTTAAGGAGAGAAGACCCTCTGGTTGGGCGAGTATGAATGATCTCATGCTCAGCATTCACGTATCTTTAACAAAGAATATTCAACAAATCAATTGCCTGTGTGATAATTTTCCAGTGCATTGGGGTACCACATACACTAGGCAGTGTGCTTTCCTAGCAGCCAACAGAGAGACRAAAGCTTATTCTTGATAGAAGGTTTCCACTGATTAACTGATAAACTTTACATAAGACAAGGGTCAGCGTGAGTGTGTCTGCATGTGWCTACGCAATATATATATATATCAACGCTATCACTAAATGGTCCAGCTCAGGTATTGTAAGCAGAATCACTAGAACAACTTAATGCTCTGCTTGGGCTGATCCACTTATATAGCACTAGCTACACCAGTTTGCATAGCAAATATATGGAGCATCTTTGTAATAAATACCAACAGACCTAAATCTTATCAACACCATAAACCTTATCAGGCTGTTTTGTCAGGCTGTGAAGTTTTGGTTTGGGATATCTTTTGCTAAAAATTTGGCCGGAGGTGTAGTCACTGCAAACAAAATAGCAAAATATGTGAAAATAAAGATGTTACTGTAAAAGTAAAGACACTCCCTATAAKTGCACAGCCCCTTGGCTATTGTACGTGGTACTCCCTTGCTATACACATTGCTAAGTAGTGGCTTTCATTTGTGGTGTTCATTTGTCCTGCTAATAGCAAAGTCTGACAAGTATTCTGTCTCCACAGATCCTCTCATTTTCACCCATGTGTTTGCTATAGGAAATGTAAAATAAAATATTTGTTCTGTTTAAAGAACAGATATTTTTCTTTCTTACAGTTTAC